TTGCATGCACAAATTGGAGTCTATTAGATAGATATGATACAATATCGCCGTGCATCTGAATTCTCAGTAGTTTGTACAATACAACAAAACTTTTCCATTTCTTTCTGTGAAACAAGCTGTGAAACTGTGATAGATGTGAGTTTTAATCGACACTGAAAGGTGTCAGTTTAGACCCAGCGTGCCAGCAGTAATTCAGTTCGCTGACTTAACGACAAGTTTAATGACAAATGGTTTGAGAAAGCGCACGCTTGAACAGGCTTACAAAGCTAACGGCACTGCATGGTGAAGGTGTTTCAAACTTTAAACAAATGAGATTAGGAGAGATTATTTAAGAAAATAATTATATCTGGATTTTATTTTTTAAATTAAGAAGCATTTGTCAGTATTTTTAAACTCATTACTTTACTTTGGAAATTTTTTTCTCCTTTTTTCTCCTCACGGTGTATTTTATTTTGTTAGTTTAATCTTAGAAAATGTTTAATTCTGCTTTTTTATGGCTGTAGTCATCCTGTAAAACATGATCGCATACATTCACATAAAGATTTTTTGCTAAAAAGAAAAGTAGGCTGTAACGTTTCATACACCATGTTACGTAAAGACACTTTGCGCAGTGTTAGAAAAGTGTGGAGAGCAGCTGTCATATTTGCACTGTCATGCATATTTGAATGTAACACTGTGTATGTGTTGTGTGTACAGATGCGTTTATGGACGCAAGCTCGTCAGATGGGTTGGTATGCAGGCCGTTGCATGGCAGCACACATCCTGTCAGAACCAGTGGAGCTGGACTTCTGCTTTGAACTCTTCTCACATATTACTAAATTCTTCAACTACAAGGTAAGAGATGTTTTACTAAAGTGCAGCAAAGTTATTTAAATGATAACTAATAGGTTAAACATCAACTATGCAAAGTGGAAAGGTTTTCATTCTTTTCAAGGTGATTTCACAGGGCCGCATGGTTTTAGCCTCAAGGTTGATTCACAGTGCTTTTTAAAAAACATGTCTCCTTCTGATTATTCCACAGGTGGTCCTACTGGGAAAGTTTAATAGTCAAGGGCTTGGGCCAGACCATGAGCTGCTGGTACGCTGCACTAAAGGCCAGGAGTATGTCAAGGTGAAACTGCAGGGATAAACAATGTGATGACAGTAAATGGTAAAAGGACTGGTACTTACAGTGCTGTGAAAATGTATTTGCCCCCTTTCTGAATTTTTACTTATTTATTTTGACATATTTATCAAACTTACATGTTTCAGATCATCACACAAATTGTATCAGACAAATATAACCCGAGCACGAACAGACACATCCTGAAGTTTGCTGATGACACAGTGATCGTCAGTCTTCTGGTGGGGGATGAGTCAGGCCATGGGCAGATTGTAGATGATTTTGTGGATTGGTGTGATGAGTCCTTCCTTTCACTAAATGTGTCAAAAACTAAAGACATGATTATTGATTTTAGGAAGTCCTCTTATAGCTCATCCCCTACTATCATTAGAACTGCTGATATTGGGATCGTTGAGAGTTATAAATATCTAGGTGTGGTACTTGACCATAAACTGTGTTTTGAATCTCATGCTGATGCCACTCGTTTTAGAGTACCTCTGAGGAAGACCAAAAGACTCAAGGCTTCTTTTGTCCCTACTGCATCCTGTCTCCTACATGGCATATAACCGTCCTGGGATTTTCTATTACTATTATTGTCATTTTATATTATGTTTTGTTTACTTTTATCCTGCTGCTAAACTAATTTCCCTTTTGGGACAATAAAGAATTTGAATTGAATTGAATGTATTAATGGCTATCCCTGCCATTATCTCACTGGAGTGGAGTCCTAAACCCTTAGAAAATAAAACCTTGCATTATTGCCCTTCCCAAACTGACAGATGTTAAAGACTTTCTCTCATCTGTTCTTGAGTGTTTTAGATTGTGACATGATGTGTTGTTTTTGAGAACTTCAGCCTACATCATGGCAAACAACATCTTGTTTCAACAGGTCTGACAGTAAACAAACCTGAGTGTAGCTTGTGAAAGTTAACTCAGCTTTTGAAAACTATGTCATGGCTTAACAAGGGCGGGACAAAAGCATTTTTCACACAGGGCCAGGTAGCTTTGGATAGCTTCATAGTCATCATTTAAAAGCTGCATTTTGTATACACTATCTACAAATGGAGTTCCAAGGTGAAAACTGCTGTCGAAAACGGCTCATCTCACATTTTTCAAAAACATCTTGATGATTCCCAAGACTTTTGGGAAAATATTCTGTGGAATGGAGAGACAAAAGTTTAACTTTTTGGAAGGCTTGAGTCCCGTTCCATCTGGCGTACAGCTAATACAGCATTTGATAAAGAGACAATGATACCTCCAGTCAAACATGGTGGTGGTAGTGTGATGGTCGAGGACTGCTTTGCTGCTTTAGGACGACTCGCTGTAATTGATGGAAACATGAATTTTTTTTCTTCTCACAAAATCCTGAAGCTCAAGCACACTTTGGTTATGCTGCAGGTCAATTATCCAAAACACCAGCATGTCCACCTCTGAATAGCTTAGAGCAGGGGTGTCCAACTCCAGGCCTCAAGGGCCGGTGTCCTGCAGGTTTTAGATGTGTCCTTAATCCAACACCGCTGATTTAAATGGCTAAATTACCTCCTTAACATTAAGGTCTCCAGAGGCCTGGTAACTAACTAATCATTTGATTCAGGTTTGTTGACCCAGGGTGATATCTAAAACTTGCAGGGCACCAGCCCTTGAGGCCTGAAGTTGGACACCCCTGGCTTAGAGAGAAAAACAAAATAGAGGTTTTGGAGTGGCCTTGTCAAAATCCAGGCTTGTATCAGACTGACGACCTTAGCACAGTGCTGAAGGGAGGGCTTTAAAGTTGCCTGTACTGAAGCGTGCATGCACATGCAGAAATACTTTTTCACAGCATTGTAACTTCTTCAGTCTTCAAAATTAAAATCACCAAAGGCTAATCTGGAACCCAGAAATCAATGGGAGCTGCCAGGGTGTCTTTGTCTTTTGTATACAGTCTTTAGCTAATATCAATATTTTGTCCATCTCATTGCAATTAAATGTTTGTTCCAGGTTGTTCTCAGTGGAGGGAGGATGGTGGGAGCAGTGCTTATTGGAGAAACAGACCTGGAAGAAACATTTGAAAACCTGATACTCAACCAGATGGATCTGACGCCATATGGAGAAGAATTGCTTAACCCTGACATTGACATAGAAGACTACTTCGACTGAGCTCTGCTGGAGAGTTTGAACAATGGCAATTAGCTGTGTGAAAGAAAGATTATGTTTGCAATAGTAAATGAAATTATTTATTTTTGCTTTAAATAAAAAAAAATTCTAAACCACATGCACTAAATTGTTGGTTGAAATATGTATTAGGTAAAAGTATTTTTGTAGCAGTATATACAATACCGTGCAAGTCTTGAGCCATCCCCCATTTCTTCAGAGTTCAGCAATTTATTGAAAAGTGCAAACAGACGTGGACATTTGCACAAGCTTGAAAGTCAATATTTGGTATGACCACCTTTATTCTTCAACACAGCCTGAACTCTCTTAGGCGACATTTCTTGTCATTTCTTTAAGCAGTCTTCAGGAATAGTTCTCTAGGCATCTTGAATGATATTCAAAGCTCTTCTTTGGATATTGGCTGTCTCTTGTTCTGTTCTCTGTTAAGATGAACACACACTCAGTAATATTGAAGCCCAGGCTTTGTGGAGGCCAGTCCATGACTGATAGTGGTCCATTGTGCATTTTTCTATCTAGGTATGCTTTTACTGCGTTATCTGTTTTTGGGATCATTGTCACATTGAAATTGAAGCCATTTCCATTTCAAATATTTCCAGATGGTATGTATGGTTATTCAAAATCTGATTGTACTTTTCTGTGTTCATAATTCCATGGTTTTTGACCAATCGCATTAGACACCAATGGCTAATGCAGTCCCAAACATGACAGAGCCTCCACCAGGCTTTACAGATGGCTGTAGACACTTACTGTTATTCATCCCTCTATAAGTTGCTTCAGATTTTCAGCCCAGTTATTGTGTAGCCTTTTCTCCTTGTTTCCCTTCATTAAGAATGGCTTCCTGACATCCACGCTTCCAGTGAGAAGATTTCTGATGAGGCTTCAGTGAACAGTAGATGGAGGGCGAGAGGCATCTCTTATTGCTGGATTTCTTCATATTGCTTAAAGACAAATGCTGTTCATCTGCTATAGGTTTTAGGCCTGACAGTTTTATCAATTTTTTAAGGACACCCTGCACATCACGTTGACATACACCAAGTTTTGTTTTTATTATTATTATTACCAATAGCTCTTTGGAAATATTCTTGTTGATGCCAAAATACAATTTTATACCCATGAAACTGCATTATCTTTCATTCATTAAAGAAATGAAAATTAGTGAGAAAGTAGCCAGTGTCTAAAAGAAAATGTTAAAAAACCTTCAGAGAGTATTGAAAACTATTGCTCAAGAGCACTTTTCAAAATTCCAAGAAAGTCTAGCTGCTTGGAGGTAAATAAATAGAAATGGGTGTGGCTGGAGATTTTCCACAGCACTGTAAATCCATCACTTTATTGTCATGGTTTAAACTAATCATGGTTGATTTAAATCAGATATATACTGAGGTATAAGATACACGGGGTAGTATGAAAATGGCATGCACTAACACTCACTTGACCCATTGATTTTAATAGGCAAACGTGTTCTACGTGAGAGCGAAAAGGAAAATCTCTTTGTTTCTATGTTGTCCTAGTAACTCGTGATCAGATTTCAGCCTGAGCAGTAACTAGAGCTCCTCCCAGGCCTCAGCAACAATCTAGATTGTGCTGCCCATTGTTACTGTGAGACGTTGCTTTTGTGGTATAACTACTTGAAAACCCACCAAATGACAAAGGACAAGAAACATTAAAGGTGTAATGATTTAATGATGACCAGAACGCCCATTCACATAAAGATTTTTTGCTAAAAAGAAAAGTAGGCTGTAACGTTTCATACACCATGTTACGTAAAGACACTTTGCGCAGTGTTAGAAAAGTGTGGAGAGCAGCTGTCATATTTGCACTGTCATGCATATTTGAATGTAACACTGTGTATGTGTTGTGTGTACAGATGCGTTTATGGACGCAAGCTCGTCAGATGGGTTGGTATGCAGGCCGTTGCATGGCAGCACACATCCTGTCAGAACCAGTGGAGCTGGACTTCTGCTTTGAACTCTTCTCACATATTACTAAATTCTTCAACTACAAGGTAAGAGATGTTTTACTAAAGTGCAGCAAAGTTATTTAAATGATAACTAATAGGTTAAACATCAACTATGCAAAGTGGAAAGGTTTTCATTCTTTTCAAGGTGATTTCACAGGGCCGCATGGTTTTAGCCTCAAGGTTGATTCACAGTGCTTTTTAAAAAACATGTCTCCTTCTGATTATTCCACAGGTGGTCCTACTGGGAAAGTTTAATAGTCAAGGGCTTGGGCCAGACCATGAGCTGCTGGTACGCTGCACTAAAGGCCAGGAGTATGTCAAGGTGAAACTGCAGGGATAAACAATGTGATGACAGTAAATGGTAAAAGGACTGGTACTTACAGTGCTGTGAAAATGTATTTGCCCCCTTTCTGAATTTTTACTTATTTATTTTGACATATTTATCAAACTTACATGTTTCAGATCATCACACAAATTGTATCAGACAAATATAACCCGAGCACGAACAGACACATCCTGAAGTTTGCTGATGACACAGTGATCGTCAGTCTTCTGGTGGGGGACGAGTCAGGCCATGGGCAGATTGTAGATGATTTTGTGGATTGGTGTGATGAGTCCTTCCTTTCACTAAATGTGTCAAAAACTAAAGACATGATTATTGATTTTAGGAAGTCCTCTTATAGCTCATCCCCTACTATCATTAGAACTGCTGATATTGGGATCGTTGAGAGTTATAAATATCTAGGTGTGGTACTTGACCATAAACTGTGTTTTGAATCTCATGCTGATGCCACTCGTTTTAGAGTACCTCTGAGGAAGACCAAAAGACTCAAGGCTTCTTTTGTCCCTACTGCATCCTGTCTCCTACATGGCATATAACCGTCCTGGGATTTTCTATTACTATTATTGTCATTTTATATTATGTTTTGTTTACTTTTATCCTGCTGCTAAACTAATTTCCCTTTTGGGACAATAAAGAATTTGAATTGAATTGAATGTATTAATGGCTATCCCTGCCATTATCTCACTGGAGTGGAGTCCTAAACCCTTAGAAAATAAAACCTTGCATTATTGCCCTTCCCAAACTGACAGATGTTAAAGACTTTCTCTCATCTGTTCTTGAGTGTTTTAGATTGTGACATGATGTGTTGTTTTTGAGAACTTCAGCCTACATCATGGCAAACAACATCTTGTTTCAACAGGTCTGACAGTAAACAAACCTGAGTGTAGCTTGTGAAAGTTAACTCAGCTTTTGAAAACTATGTCATGGCTTAACAAGGGCGGGACAAAAGCATTTTTCACACAGGGCCAGGTAGCTTTGGATAGCTTCATAGTCATCATTTAAAAGCTGCATTTTGTATACACTATCTACAAATGGAGTTCCAAGGTGAAAACTGCTGTCGAAAACGGCTCATCTCACATTTTTCAAAAAACATCTTGATGATTCCCAAGACTTTTGGGAAAATATTCTGTGGAATGGAGAGACAAAAGTTTAACTTTTTGGAAGGCTTGAGTCCCGTTCCATCTGGCGTACAGCTAATACAGCATTTGATAAAGAGACAATGATACCTCCAGTCAAACATGGTGGTGGTAGTGTGATGGTCGAGGACTGCTTTGCTGCTTTAGGACGACTCGCTGTAATTGATGGAAACATGAATTTTTTTTCTTCTCACAAAATCCTGAAGCTCAAGCACACTTTGGTTATGCTGCAGGTCAATTATCCAAAACACCAGCATGTCCACCTCTGAATAGCTTAGAGCAGGGGTGTCCAACTCCAGGCCTCAAGGGCCGGTGTCCTGCAGGTTTTAGATGTGTCCTTAATCCAACACCGCTGATTTAAATGGCTAAATTACCTCCTTAACATTAAGGTCTCCAGAGGCCTGGTAACTAACTAATCATTTGATTCAGGTTTGTTGACCCAGGGTGATATCTAAAACTTGCAGGGCACCAGCCCTTGAGGCCTGAAGTTGGACACCCCTGGCTTAGAGAGAAAAACAAAATAGAGGTTTTGGAGTGGCCTTGTCAAAATCCAGGCTTGTATCAGACTGACGACCTTAGCACAGTGCTGAAGGGAGGGCTTTAAAGTTGCCTGTACTGAAGCGTGCATGCACATGCAGAAATACTTTTTCACAGCATTGTAACTTCTTCAGTCTTCAAAATTAAAATCACCAAAGGCTAATCTGGAACCCAGAAATCAATGGGAGCTGCCAGGGTGTCTTTGTCTTTTGTATACAATCTTTAGCTAATATCAATATTTTGTCCATCTCATTGCAATTAAATGTTTGTTCCAGGTTGTTCTCAGTGGAGGGAGGATGGTGGGAGCAGTGCTTATTGGAGAAACAGACCTGGAAGAAACATTTGAAAACCTGATACTCAACCAGATGGATCTGACGCCATATGGAGAAGAATTGCTTAACCCTGACATTGACATAGAAGACTACTTCGACTGAGCTCTGCTGGAGAGTTTGAACAATGGCAATTAGCTGTGTGAAAGAAAGATTATGTTTGCAATAGTAAATGAAATTATTTATTTTTGCTTTAAATAAAAAAAAATTCTAAACCACATGCACTAAATTGTTGGTTGAAATATGTATTAGGTAAAAGTATTTTTGTAGCAGTAATACAATACCGTGCAAGTCTTGAGCCATCCCCATTTCTTCAGAGTTCAGCAATTTATTGAAAAGTGCAAACAGACGTGGACATTTGCACAAGCTTGAAAGTCAATATTTGGTATGACCACCTTTATTCTTCAACACAGCCTGAACTCTCTTAGGCGACATTTCTTGTCATTTCTTTAAGCAGTCTTCAGGAATAGTTCTCTAGGCATCTTGAATGATATTCAAAGCTCTTCTTTGGATATTGGCTGTCTCTTGTTCTGTTCTCTGTTAAGATGAACACACACTCAGTAATATTGAAGCCCAGGCTTTGTGGAGGCCAGTCCATGACTGATAGTGGTCCATTGTGCATTTTTCTATCTAGGTATGCTTTTACTGCGTTATCTGTTTTGGGATCATTGTCACATTGAAATTGAAGCCATTTCCATTTCAAATATTTCCAGATGGTATGTATGGTTATTCAAAATCTGATTGTACTTTTCTGTGTTCATAATTCCATGGTTTTTGACCAATCGCATTAGACACCAATGGCTAATGCAGTCCCAAACATGACAGAGCCTCCACCAGGCTTTACAGATGGCTGTAGACACTTACTGTTATTCATCCCTCTATAAGTTGCTTCAGATTTTCAGCCCAGTTATTGTGTAGCCTTTTCTCCTTGTTTCCCTTCATTAAGAATGGCTTCCTGACATCCACGCTTCCAGTGAGAAGATTTCTGATGAGGCTTCAGTGAACAGTAGATGGAGGGCGAGAGGCATCTCTTATTGCTGGATTTCTTCATATTGCTTAAAGACAAATGCTGTTCATCTGCTATAGGTTTTAGGCCTGACAGTTTTATCAATTTTTTAAGGACACCCTGCACATCACGTTGACATACACCAAGTTTTGTTTTTATTATTATTATTACCAATAGCTCTTTGGAAATATTCTTGTTGATGCCAAAATACAATTTTATACCCATGAAACTGCATTATCTTTCATTCATTAAAGAAATGAAAATTAGTGAGAAAGTAGCCAGTGTCTAAAAGAAAATGTTAAAAAACCTTCAGAGAGTATTGAAAACTATTGCTCAAGAGCACTTTTCAAAATTCCAAGAAAGTCTAGCTGCTTGGAGGTAAATAAATAGAAATGGGTGTGGCTGGAGATTTTCCACAGCACTGTAAATCCATCACTTTATTGTCATGGTTTAAACTAATCATGGTTGATTTAAATCAGATATATACTGAGGTATAAGATACACGGGGTAGTATGAAAATGGCATGCACTAACACTCACTTGACCCATTGATTTTAATAGGCAAACGTGTTCTACGTGAGAGCGAAAAGGAAAATCTCTTTGTTTCTATGTTGTCCTAGTAACTCGTGATCAGATTTCAGCCTGAGCAGTAACTAGAGCTCCTCCCAGGCCTCAGCAACAATCTAGATTGTGCTGCCCATTGTTACTGTGAGACGTTGCTTTTGTGGTATAACTACTTGAAAACCCACCAAATGACAAAGGACAAGAAACATTAAAGGTGTAATGATTTAATGATGACCAGAACGCCCACCCACTCAATTCTCGTATATGTTTACCTTTAGGCTTGTGTTTGTAGGTCAGTGCTTTTATTTAGTCACATCTATTGACTGATTGGCTGAGTGAGCACCAAAGGTTGAGTTGACTCACTGGACTTGAAAAGTGACTAAAAATAGCGATGTAAATGAGCAACGACAACTGTGCAACACAGAATGATATCCTTGTCTTTTTAGTAAAGAAACATGAACAACAAACTCCTCTGCTGCTACTCCTGCTGCTGTTAAAGTTTCTCTGGGCTAGACCACATTTTCCAATTTTGGTCAGTTGGAGTTGCCCAGCATTCAGCAGGAATTGACACTGTGATTGCACTGAGTGGTTTTCCCTGGTGTACCTGCACAGGTGGAAAATGGTGAATTGTTTACAGGGTAAGTCAACACTGCTTAGGTGGCCAAATGAATCAAGATAAAATTCAAGTCCTTGTTTATATGCAAACTGCTGGAGTGGAGGGCAGGGCTGAGATGCCAGGTGCCACTGTAGACAGATTGTGTGTTACTAAGCAACTGAGATCAGGCATAAACATTAGTATGGCAAAAAAGACAGAAAAGAATTATATGCCTAGTTAATTTCCTGCTATTAAAGTTGATATCGCTGAATATAGGCAAATATGAAAACCAAATAAGATTTTGAAATCTTTAATAATCTGTTTTAATTGACTGATTGACTGGAAGTCCCAACTACCCCCAAATTTTGGGTGGTGGCCAGTCCCCCACACCCTGGCATGGGTGATTATAAAGAATTCATAAACATGAATCTGAATCAGCATACTTTATTAATCCCTAAAGAAATAACTGAGGGTTACAGTTGCTCCAGTACAGTAACAGAAACAGACTAGATTATTTAACAATACAATATGTTAGATTTAAGAAATAGCACGATATATACAAATCACTCAATAATAAATATCAAGGATTGACAGAGGTGATTATAAATAAATATCAAGAAAATCAACAAGAATATTACAGAGTAGAAAAGAGCGTGTGTAAAAAGGGTGTAACTATTGCAGTGTTTACAGTGTGTTAGATGGAGGAGTTGTACAGGGAGATGGCCACAGGCAGGAATGATTTCCTGCGTCATTCAGTGGTGCTTTTTGGTAATCTCAGTCTCCCACTAAACATGCTCTATGGCTAGCCAGCATGTCATGGAGTGGGCGGGAGGTATTATCCAACATTGTCTTTATCTTAGACAACATCTGCCTCTCCGACACCAGTTCCATCCCCACAACATTACTGGCCTTGCGGATATATAAATTAAGGACATTACTAATGCTCTGTTTTCATCTTAGCATTTAGAAGAGGTAACTGAATATATGTGTCCTTTTCCAAGTAACCTATATTTCACAACAGCATAATATAATAGTGGAAATTATTTTTTTGGCACATTTATATTGGTTTTAATATGGCCACCCCTAAAAAAAAAAAATTCCGGAGGTGCCCCTGCCGTTCAGTCGCACCCATCACCAAGAGGACAGTTGAAACCATTGTAAGACATTGCTCAACCTCACCATTATGTGTGCTATTGACGTCACCTGAGGCAGGGTGTGATTTGGGGTTTAAACACCCCAGGGTTGGGAATAGATTGCAGGTGCATTGAGGAGGATGAAACCTCCCATGCTGAAGTTCATCAGAAAACCACAAACGCACACAAAGTAGGGGAGACCGGGGATAGTTGTAACATTTTTGACATTTCTGTCTGTAAATTGAAGCTCTTTTAAGGTAGTGGATTCAAAATGTAATGCAAAGTATTTACATGTCTCTGCTATTAAATAGTGCAGCTATTTTCTCTGCAGCACAATTACCCATTGCATGGTATGGTCTCAAACACAAAGAGTGAAATGTTACAATTAACCCCATAGTCTGGGTTAGTTGTATCATATCCTGGGGTGAAATGTAACACAATGAAATAAGGGTACTAACAAAATATTAACATGTAATCTTTGTTTATTCAACACATGAATGCACTTAGAGCCATTTATGTAGCTCTGTGTGTGTGTGACAGAATGCAGAAATCTAGCTTTTGAACATATTCCAATCCCCCAAAAAAGAAATTCTGGAATTTTCTGCAACTAAATATTTCATTAATTTTGGTTGGTCTTCCTTGAGTTTGGCCTCATTGGCTCAGTGGGCATTATAACCTACAGCTCTTGCACCAATTTTGAACATAACAATGAAGCTGAAAAAATGTAGTTGTTCACCAGCATCGCAATTCCATTACTTTTATCATGGCTTACCTTGGTGTGGTTTGCAAAGTGCTTCAGAAAGATGAGGAAATCTGTTTCTTGCACCCATCCTGACTTATTTCCACTACCAGTACTTCCTACTGGTCCATCTCTGACACAGTGGTCTGCATAATGTATGTGTGGGAACACAAACAGTGGAGGAATTGTGTTGCCAATGGCATTAACCGCATATACAAAAGCGACCAGTGAACCTCTCTCTGCTGATGTCGTTCACAAACTTGTTTAATATAAGTTTAAGTAATAGTGTGGTAAGTTGTAACATCTGCATTATTGTTACAACTAACCCAGACTGTTGCTGTTACAACTGACCCAGACTCCTATAGCCATGAACTAGCTAACATTACAGCCAACAGCTAAAACATTAGCACTAAAGACCTACACAGAATATATCCCCATAGACATACAAATAACACAATTTAGGTTTGATGAGTTTAACTGCAAAGCAGATAATGCTATTAGAAATTGAAATAAAGTAGAAAACTTACTTTTGGCATACAATTAGTTTCATGTTAAATTGTCTGTGTTTGACAAAATGTGCTGATTTTTCACATGTGATAGCAGAACTGAGTTGGGCATGCACAGGATGAGTCACATCATTTGAAACTTAGCCCTGATTGGAGAAATTGGAAGTGTTACAACTGACCCACGTTACAACTATCCCCGGTCTCCCCTACCTATTCTTTGACTCCCCCACCCACTGGAGCACCAGTGGGTGGTGGGACCTTGGGGTGTTGAGGACCCTACACCACTGACAAAAACATTTTCCCTCTAAAGAAGAAGGGAAAGAAAAGGAACACATACATGCAAAGAAAGCACTTAAAACATGCAGTTAACCTTAACTGGGCCTTCATTATATCAGCAAAGATGTCTCAACATAGGAGAGCCACCTCAACACGACAAGACTCAGGTGTACATCTGTGCCTTAAGGACAAAGGGCACTCTTTTGAGGACCCCAATGTTAACCTTTTGGACCAGGAAGACAGGATGGTTTCTATGAACAAATATTGTTTCTGTGAATGAATTTTCTCAAAATGAGGTGATGGCTTAGAAAACCAGGTATTAGCTACTTACAATGACTGACTCCTCCCTAGGTGTTTCAATCCCCATTCTTACCTTACCTCAGGTGACGTCAATAACTAATTTAATGGTGAGATTGGGCAATGTCTCTGTTACGTAAGGCCCAAAATGGCCTCCGTACAAGAAAGTAGTAGCTCTAATATTGACCAGTAACGAACCACCACACACACACTGTAATGGGTTACACAAGATTTATTTGTTCTTTCTCCGGGTAAAACTACTGGCTGAAGACACAACTCTGGCCAGGAATCCAAGGCCCAAAGCCACCGCGGTCAGGGTTGTTAGCCTGGTTACAAACAGGGGAAAGGTGGTCACTTGGAAGAACAAGCAGCCAAAACGTATCAATCCTGCAGCTTCCTCAAAAAGGCTTGCCACCCACCTTTTCAGGCCTGACTTCGTTCGAGGCTGGGTCTCCACATCACATCCTGGGAGCTGGAACTTCCCCAAAACTGGTCCAGTTTCCTTGTCAGGGGCACAGAGAGTCTCCAGTCCAGTGTTTGTTTTCCTGCCTTCTAGCACATCCACTCACATCCCAATAAGAATGAGTCCTCCCTCCAACATCCTCAGTTTATTTAAAAGCAAAACCAGGCCAGGTTAAAAATCTTTTCCATTAAAATGTGCACACGTCATCCTGGATCTTCGAGGCTTCCCTGCTTCACCAGTGTCCTACTAAAAAAAAAACAACAACCCTACTTCTGTTTCCTCTCCCCTTTAATAGAGAAGGCTCCAATCATCCCAATCAGCTGCTCCCTGTATTCAACTCCAAATAGCTGGCAGCTGGACTAGAGTAGAATCTCCACTCCCACATGGGTGTGGCCCACACCTCACATCAAACACAAAAAAACACCAAAGCATGCAATTAATACAAAACAAAATCTAAAGAAATGCCAACCCAAAAGCTTAGGGGGCGATTCTCTCCATCCTTTTCCACCATGCTATACTCTGTAACATCTCACAGAGGTTTCACCTTTCTACTGGCATGTCCTATGTCTGTTATCACACGGTAAATAAATAAATAGTGGGTTAACGACTCTCAGTAACAACTCCAAAGCAACTGACCCCACTAGGTGTTGTTGTAGAACTAAAGAACCAAAATATCTGCAAAAACCTCATGAAGTCCAGTTGTGTTTGCCTCTAAGATTGCCTTCCTGAGCCTGGTTCTGCAAAAGAGCTCTTCCTTTTAAAGGGCGTTCTTCCTTCCTACTACTGCCAACTCCTTGCTCAAAGTAGACTATTATGGTTATCTCTCTCACTTTATGAAGATTTCATCATTCAAAATTAAAGGATTTGAGATGAGTATTCATGCTGTCCTTATAATGTGACTTTCCCCACCGCAGTTACAGGCTTTTTTTTTTTTTATGTAAACTGGTGAACACCCGGGCTGTCTACAAACATCTCATCTGTTTTATTGGAATACAGTACTCAGTTCCTAGTAGTGGTTGTAAATCAATACTCAGTATTCCAGTAAATACTGGAAAAGTCCAATTGATGTGTGTGCATTGTCTTTGGCTGTGACTTAGATAAAGATCAGACTGTAAAAACGCAAGGCGTATCCATCGTGCTACGAATAAGACTTGACATAGCGATCACTATCTTAGTGACGGATACACTTTTAGTTTTTATTGAAAAGTTATAACGTTAGTACTGGTTGAGTGGCTTCATTAATACAGATATTTAAGCAGATTTACCCTCTCCTTGTCGGCCTAAATTAGTCGTCTCACTTTTAGCGTAAACGTTTAACGTTAAGCCCAGACGTGTCACGCAGAGGATTTCATTCAAGTAGATTGCGGATGTGACGGCAGTAGCGTGACCGTTTGCTCATGCAAAAGTGTACGCTTGTGTGTAACACCAGCGACCGCCGCCGCCGCAAAATAAAAATAATCAAAAAAGGTCGAGGATTTTGAGTGATGTATTTGATTGCTGTTCGTTTTTTATCTGGTAATTTGTTGTTGTTGTTGTCTTTGCTTGCATTGCATCTCTGCCAATTAATTAACATGACTTGGTTTTTTTTCCATGAGCAGGATGTCATTTTTTAAAAATTAAGCTCCGCCACCGGTGCGCGCTAAGTCTTTGAGCATGCGCTTCTTTTGGTCATTCGATTACCAGCATGCATCAGGAGAACATCTTTTTTCCCCTGGTGGGTGGGGCTTTTTGAGAGGCGTTGCCGCACAGCAAGGACTCAGGGATTATATACCCTGTGCTGGTCTTCGAGCAGTTTCATACATTGCGCATTTGGAAGCAGATAGGTGCACTGCAGTTTAAGAACAACAACAAAATAATAATAATAATATTTCAAGTATTTCAACAAATATCGACTCCGCTATGGCTAGCTACATCCATGTTCCCGACGAGGCTCCCGCTGTGCCCAAAATAGATGTGACAGTTGACGAGAACGACTACAGACCTGGTGCACTGAAACTGATGAAGGAGCTGAGACCAAGCTGGAGGCCGTTCGAGATCAAAATGAAGGTGCGGTTTATTTCATTACACGCACTTTCATTTCATGTGAAATATTTACTGATTTTTACCATAGCTTTTAATTCTCCCACATATCAAGTATTTATAACTTTACCGTTTAAAAAAAGGGACGTTAGCTATTAAGGAGTAAACCACTTAAAAACTGTTGCCGATGTTAAATATTTACTGGTGTCGTACATTAACTGTTAACGGTTAAACAGGTGGGATGACTTCATTTTTGTGAGTCGCCACCAAACCACCAAACCAGGAAATGAACGCAGTGAATAGTTGATCTTTAAATTTGTATGTCTTATTGTTTGTTTGGTTTTTTTCGTTACACGACACACGCAAAAAATGAAAAAAAAAAGAAAACCGAAAGAAAGAAAGAAATTGCAAGTGTACGTTTATGTAGGGACTGCGCTAAAGAACGATTGATTTGACTGCGCAGATGCGGGCTCATAATATCGCCGACGCTAAACTGTTCGCTAGATGTTCTTGTTGCAAGTAAATGTTCATGCTGCTTATTCTTCCCACACACCCTTATGCAGCACACACTTTTATATTGTCCTCACTCAGTGGATGCTGATGCTACGCTGTGTCAGGGTGTGACCGTCAAACCATATTAACCCGTGACACACACATCTGGCTATATTCGGAACACGTTTTAACCGAACTATTCCAGTTTGCAGTTCAAGACATCAGACAACTGCAGCTTTGTGTTTCAATGGCCTGCACTATTAAAAAGATGCTATGCATAATAAAGTGTCATGACGTGGATATTTTCAGTTTACTATATTTATGATTTCACGAATAAAAGGCAGTCGATTGTTTGTTTTTTAACAGAATGCGTTAACAGTAGTACAGTATTGAAGTATGTATTAAACGTAAGGTTCAGGAAGAAATACTGACTCGAAACGCAACATGACTGTGGGCTATTTACATAAGAGGCTTAATCTAATCTTATGAGAGTGCAAATTGATCTTCCAAAGTTTAACACTTTACGTTACCCTGCAGGATAACAGTGTGACATGTATACATTACAACTATAAACAGACACCCAGAAAGTGGTATTTTCCTTTCTGCGAACAAAGTGGAGGTGTTTGGTAAATAGTGAGAATGAAAGCTTGTCAGGGCGTCTGCTGTTCTTGCCTGTATTATTCATCAATGAGCTCAAAGTGGGGAGTCAGCAAATGCCAGCCATTGCTATCTAATGGAAAATAAAATTCCTGACAGTCCTGTCATTCTCCGTCAATCCTAGATGGAGTAAACAATTAGGGTTGGTATGCTGACCCCTCAACCTTTACAAAAGTGTTCAGAGATTGTAAAGCGAAAATCAGCCAAAATGCCACAACCCAAATTTTTGTAGGATTCCGCTTTGTTTTGCAGTATTTTGCCACTTCTGACGCCTCTCAGAACTTATGTAACGCCAAAAAGGTGTGGGCTCTCAGGCTCAGAATTTAAATAGAATCATGTGGACAGTTCCACTTCCTCTAATTGTAGGTGTCAAGTTCAAATTTTGAAGAATGGGACAGATGAAATCCCACTGATTAATCTGTCCTCTGCTCTTGTCTTCCCCTCTGCAGTTTTTCACAGATGGAATAACCAATAAACTGCTTGGCTGCTACGTGGGTGCAACCATGCAGGATGTGGTTCTGGTCCGTATTTATGGCAACAAAACAGAACTGCTGATCGATAGGGAAAATGAGGTGAAGGGTTTCAGAGTACTGCATGCACACTGCTGTGCCCCACGCCTTTACTGTACCTTCAACAATGGTCTGTGCTATGAATTTCTGCAAGGAACTGCACTGGAGCCTGAGCACATTCGCAGCCAGCCTGTTTTTAGGTAAAAAAAAAATAAAAAATCTTGCATTGCAAAATGGAGCTTCTACAGTGTCACTTGACTTTGGGTGTTGTATGCTCTACCACCTCACCGCCTACCTGTCTGAGGCTAAAAATAGATTCTGAACAGAGTTGTGCAATACCTGCACCAGTGTTTTGGTTGATTGTATCGGCACATTCTAGGCTCCAAATATTAGCCTTTTAGCTGGATGTAGCTTTTTTTTTTTTCTTCCCTTTACAAAAATGACATGAACCATGTGATTGCATGGCTCTCAGTTACAGTCTATAACAACTTGCAGAAAGAGTATGAAGCAGTCAATTCCATTCAGTTAACTGGGAAAAGCCATAAAGACAGCAATTGACTACATCCCAGAAATCAGTTTTTGAGAACAGAATAAGTTCGTTTTCAGTTGTAAGGTTTTTAATTTTTCTTGAAATATACCACGAGTTTAAATAAGACACATTAAATGCTGTTAGCTTTAACTTTAATAACTTTTTGAAAGCAGGTTTCTTTTTTTTTTAATAATTACTTACTGACAAGACTGCATAATCTGATCCATAATAAAGTTAAAGCAATTCCCCTCCTTTTATAGCCCATTTGTGTGTTGCTGCTTGCTGTTGTAGTTAGTCTTCTTGTTTTCTACCTTGCAGGCTCATTGCTAGGCAGCTGGCCAGGTACCACGCCATACACGCCCATAATGGCTGGTTACCCCAGTCTGACCTGTGGCTGAAGATGGGCAAGTACTTTACTCTCATCCCCAAATCCTTCAAGGACCCTGAGCAGAATGCCAGGTGAGACCACATAGATCAGACTTAGTCTGCCAGATCTGTTAGAGAGCTGGTTAGTACTCAGGTTCTCATATGTCTCAAAGCCCAGTTGAGTTTCACTTCTACTGTCTAAAGAAGTGAAATGCATTTCATATATTGTTCAGCTCGCTTACACTATGTATATGTCCCTTTTTTCACACATGACTTCAATTGACTGTTTCATACAGGATCAAGAATCAAGAGTTGGCATTGTAAGAAAAGTGGTTATGTAATGTTTATTACTACTATTATGTTTAGGTTTTGGTATTTTTAAAGACTTTAAGTTCTGAAAATGAATTTGCCACGCCTTTTTATCAGCATGGTGTGATATGACCTCATAGCTTTATCTGTGAGTCACATGATCTCTCAGGTTTTAAAGACAAAACACAGGGATATTTATCAGGCGATCGTATCTGGGGAAGTACGTCAAGTCCTTTGCATAGTTTCAGGACATTTGTTTTGCATTCCCAAGAGACTATGCACGTCTTTCCCTAAGTTTTGCTACATCAATGACCAGCAACCTAGAATAGTAAAGTAGCTCATTTATGGCTTAAAAAAAGAGGGGCTGCGTAACATAAAAATGAGTTATGATTACAGTGTCTCCCTCACGTGCTTTTGCTGTTTTGTCTAACAGTAATAGCTGCCTTCAAATCTACTGGCACTTAAAATGAATCCAAAACAAACATTTGCTTTATATGCTGTTCCATGCAGGTCAAGCAAATATTAATACTGTAAGAAATACTATTAAGTTGAGTCAGAGTGTAAGAGGCGTGGCATCTCGAGTCTTGTTTACTGAAGTGTCCGAATGTTTAATGAGCACGGACACTGAATACTCTTCTTTCCAATTTCTTGCCACATTCTACAAGTAACAAAGAAAAGGAATTCATTTAACACGAGTCCAATCCAAACAGGAAGTACAGAGCAAAACTCTCTTCCAGTGAGTGTTGTGGGAACAGTGTCTATTTTCTGTTCCTGGTGTTCACGATTTGTGCTTACTGCAGTTTAAGCAGTGATGCCACTGATAAAAGGTTCTAATGTAACGCTATTAGTTGTAAAGATGCTCTTAATACAACAACTGATAGTTTTAATCTCTGATTTTTATTTCTTTTTTAATTCCTGTAGTGATACTTAGCCACCTTCTTTATTTGTTTTCTGCTCAGTTTCGTTTTGTCATTCTGGGCTTTACTGACAAGTGTGATATACATATTTGCATTTAAATTAACAATACACTACAAAAATAGACTACTTGTACCTATTTGCACCTCATAAAGTGCCACATTTGATTTTCTTGCCTTCTAGTGCCTGTTGTTCGGTTCCTGTTTTCTCCCATACTTCTGTTTCTACCTCTACTTTCAGGTTCCCCATACTGACTTATCTATCTCCATCTCCCATTGAATACTGCTCAAAAAAGTAACACTTTTCAATCAGAGTACAACATCAAGTCAGTTAAACTTCTGGGATGTTGATCTGGTCAGTTAAGTAGCAGAGGTGGCTGTTAAGCAGTCTCAGCTGCTTTGCTGTGAAAGAAATGAACAAAAGAGGGACTGTTTTTGTTGTTTGTTTGTTTTCACTAGTTTTATGTTTGGCTAGGGTTAGCGTCACTACTGCTATCATGAGGTGATGCCTGGACCGTACAGGGGTTGCACAGGTAGTCCAGCTCCTCCAGGATGGCACATTAATATGTGTCATTACCTGAAGGTTTGGTGTGTCTCTCAGCACCGTCTCAAGAGCATGAAGGAGATTCTGTGAGAGCTGGAGAGGGCCATAGAAAGTCCTTAACCCATCAGCAGGACTGGTATTCGCTCCTTTGTGGAAGTAGGAGCAGGATGAGCACTACCAGAACTCTACAAAAAAACCTGAGGTCCTAAAGTCCTTTAGTGGACTCTATGCTCACTGCCCAGCGCCGTGGAGCCCGACTGGCAATTGTATTAGAATACCAGAATTGGCTATGCAGCAGCACCCTGAAAGCCATTAGGTAGCGAGACAAAGTCCTTGGACCTCACTCCAATAGATTAACTCTTTTGTTTTTAACGTGCTACCCAGTTCGTATCAGTATAGATATAAGCCCCCCCCTCCTCTAAATTGAGATCTGATCTGTGTCCTAAATTTTTTTTTTTTTTGAGCAGTCTATGAATAACTTTGTAACCAACTTGTAAACTCTCTGCCTCTTTCAGGTTGAGCAGGGAGGTTCCCAGCGCACGGAGCCTCAGAGAAGAGCTGTTGTGGCTCCAGCAGAGCTTGTCTGTGCTCGGCTCCCCCGTCGTTCTCTGCCACAACGACCTTCTCTGCAAAAACATCATCTATAACCAGAAGGAAGGTGAGTATGACGGGGTGTAGTCGCATACTTTTCTGTGTGACTGAGTGCGAACTACACTGCTCCCTGTACCCAGATATGATTGCATTAATTAGATGATTTCAACCCTAGTCACATGCTACACTCATTGTCAGTGTTTGCATTGGACGGTAGCTGTAGAATAAGAACGGTCAGACAAGACAATCTGAGTTTGGCTAAGGCTCTTGATTAAATCATTTCTCCAAAGTCATAGTTATAGTTTATTTATTTATATAGTACATTTAATTACAACAGGAACGTTGACCAAAGTGCTGTACAAGAATACAAAATACCTAGTAAAAAGTCATGGCTGTTAGGGTAAAAAGTTGTGCAAAGAGAAAAGCCTTGACTCATGGATTTATTCTGTTTTCTAAATTTGTCTAATCTGTCGTTCTAATTCTGTGTTGAAAATACAATTAGAAATGTTATCAGCTTGAAAAAGCAGCATCATTGCATCATGCTACATACATAGTCTGTGTTACTGGCAGCATATGTTTTTGGTGCTATGTTGCCATTTTTGTTGGTGTGAATGTGAAGCAAACAGTCTTCGGGTAAACTTACTTGTGCACTGAGCTACTGCAATTATACCAGCCTATGAATCCAGTGGATTTATGTATGTGGGAGGGGGGTTGTTTAAGAGCTGTCAGCCCCCTCGTCAGTGTGTGACGAGGGGCGAGACCCTTCTTACAGCTCCTTGTGTCTAGCCTTTCTCCCTCAGGAATAACAGCAGAGGCTGTGGCTGCCCCACCCTGCCCCAGGGAGGCAATGGAGAGAGACAGACCTCACACACGGTCGGCTCTGAGGGCCCTCGCATACTCTGCCCACTCCTCAGACTAATCTGGATGAGTTCATGGCAGCAGTAGGAGCCAACTATCTAAACTATCTACCTGTCACCTTCCTTTTGCTACTTGGCCAACAGTTGTCCATCTGACAAACTATTGTTCCTACAGTACTGGTTATTACACACCCGTTTTTATAGGTGTCTTTGCTGTAAGTAACTCTGAGCACCACTCAAATGGCTAAATTTTAAAGCTGCTTTCTGCTTCTCTTCACAGTTGTTGTGTTTTTGTTTTTTTTGTTTTTTTTGTCACTATTAATCACTAGAAAGAAAAGGACGTGGTGATACAGTATTCTGTTTTTTTTTTTTCTGTAAACTAACCCCATGATAAGATCCACACTGAATCCAGGTACAGCTAAAGGTCCATGTTTTGGGATTCTTTCATGTGTAATATAGCACAGTGGATTTAAAATGAAGCCCTCAAATGTGGTTCAAGTCTAGACCAACTTTTGTTCATGAGAAATACAGTATGAGTTAAGGTGTTGTTGGCATTTACTACCTAGTTACTTCATTTTTAACAATACATTTCTCACAAATTGCTCTAATAGATGCTCCTAATTGCACTAAATGTGTGTTCATTGGCTGGTCATGTCAACAAATTCACTATTTTACTCTTGTGACTGAAAACAATTTAAAGAAAACCACTGAGACTTATTTGAAATGGGTAAAGAATTGTAGCAATTTTTGGAGGTCTGGCTTAAAAAGTCAAAAAATAACAATGTGTAAGTCATTCTTAGTAATTGTCTTTTCATGGGAATAGTTGACAGTAACAATAAAGAATATAATCTAACTTTCAATAAAAAGATATAACTATAAAGCTTGTGAAAAAACATTTTGCCAGGGCGCGCCTAAAAAAAACTCCTGCATACAAATATATTTCTGAGAGAGTGTTGCCACTTATAGAACTTGAATAAAATCTGTGTTGCACATCAGGCGAAGGCTGAGCAAGGGAAAAGTTCTGGTGTCACCCGGCTTTGCATGACAATGCAACACTCTTAAATTCCTCCACACAGAAATGCAACATCGCCTGGAGCCTGTACTCTAAAGTTAATTTCTTGTATAGGCATGTAAAAGTTTGGGCACTCAATATGCATGTTTGTGGAATTGCAGAAGCATATTACAATCTTCAATAAGTACTGGATAAAAAGATCTAGTGTAATTGTATCTCCCTCAAACATCCAAACAGAACTAAACCACACGTACAAATGACAACTGTAATGGAATGACACCACAATAAACTCTGGGCCTTTCAGCTCCAAGCAAACTTTATTGTATTTCTGGCTGCGCCCACTCAGTTGTCTAAGGTGTCGTTTTTGTAAATGCAGTTGCTGTCTTATAGTGCACTTACACCCTTTTGTTGAGTTGGCATAAAAAGAAACTGAATGACTTCCATGCCACTTCCTGTCACTTCTGTTCAGCTGTAGCTGCTGACTTGAAACCACTTGTCTGCTAACGTGACAGCAGAAAAGCTACCACTTCCTGCATTGATAAACAAAAGAGCTGGAAGCGGTCATCTTTTTTTCTTGTTTTTTTTTTTGTTTTTTTTGTTTTTAAGCTGTCGCACACTTATAACAAAGGCTGTATTACATTTTCCTGCTTGTTCCTGTCTCTCGGTCCCAGTCACAGGATCTTTTACTCTCCCCACTCCTCTAACTGTTGCTCAGATTTTTCTTTTTCAAAAAAAACCAAATCTCTTGACTCTGGCCCAAAGCCCTGTAAGTCTGCAGCTCAGCAGCTAACAGCAAGCCTCTCAGAGCTACTTTGCAGAAGCAGTAGTGATGTTAGGCTATTGGATATTCAGCGGACCAATAGGAAGGGAGTGATGAAGGGGAGTGTTAAGTCAAGGGGTGGTGGTTAGGCTTGATGGAATGGGTGTGAAAGAATGGCTAAAAGACAACTGTGTCAGTGAGAGTGAGCATGTGTGAAAGATGTTTGCCCCAACCTTTTCATCTGCTGCACAGGGGGGCTATAGCCACTGCCCGGAGGTGTTCAGTTGTGTCCCGCTAGGACCCACACGCCGGCTGGTAACCCACCTCAAAGTGTCTTTCTTTGTAGTCCAGCACCAACTCAAAATCTAATGTTCCATACACTAGGGTAAAGAAGCTAGCTAAAGCCAAAAATAATTAGTAGAGTAGAGACATTTAATTAAAAGTACTGTTAAAAAAAAATCTGTATTTGTTAATGTCTCTGTAACAACTGGGCTTGTGAAAGTAAGTGTTTGCATTTTGACTTTGACTGGATGCTTCTCTCTTTGTTCATTGTCTGTGCAGTGAAATCACATTTTCAGCAACCTGCAGATGCACTCACGCAGCACCATATTCTTTGAATTTTACCTTCCATGCTCTTACATCAGATTCCAAATGACAGTAAATATAAGTGCATATATTTTGCAAACCTGGCCTGAAACTGGTGCCTACATTAGCGGCTGTGTGGGATTTTGTGTGTGCACTTATGGGCATGTGTGTGTGACTCATACACATCACGAGAATTTGTCTGAAGCTCTCAGTTAAGCTGAGAGTTGTTGCTTCTGTTTGTCTTCAGCCATCATCACTGCTGGTGCGTAGTTTCTTAGAACTTGTAAGTTGACTTGTGCTTGTAAGTACGTGGAACTTGAACTTTCTGAGAGCATGGATCAAATAGTGTGGTTGCTGTACATTTGCTTTGGCTGCTCACCGGCTACTTATTTCACGTGTGTGAAATGTCTCTCTTCTTTGTATCTCTTTGTATTTTATTATCTTCCTCCTTTTGTTCCCTGTGCCCCGTTTTCCTTGTTTCTGTCTTCAAAGCATAACATTGACTTGGCCATTTTCCTTTTACTCTGTGTTTGTGTCCAAAACAAATGTTCTCTGAGAAGCAGGCTCTGCTCCTTTTCCTTTACCATTTGCACATGTTTCACGTATTACAGCATGCTCTGTACTCTTTGATTTCTGCTAATATGTTCCAGCTGCCTTAAGATTTATAACTCAGCTTTCAAATGAACACAGACATGCACATCTTGATGTTTGTTTCATCAAAATTGTCTGTTCCTCAACACTTCTGCTACATTCAAAATGCAAACTCTTACTCATCAGCCCTTAAAACTAGCTCAGTAACCGTGCCAGTCCAGTTAGGAAGTCAGAAAGATAGGAAATTACATGAAAAACCTTGACATTCTGAGTTATCAAAGGGAAATGCAACATAATCATTGTAATGTCTGCCTCCTCGTGTCTTTGTCTAAATGATGACGCTTCTGTTCCCAGGGAATGTAAAGTTCATTGACTACGAGTACACTGGGTACAATTACCAAGCCTATGACATTGGGAACCATTTCAATGAGTTTGCTGGTAAGTGTAACTCAAACCACTCACATATGTGAAAGTAATTTGTGTTTGCTGCTTTGCTATGGTATAGATGCACAATATTTACTATTATTTCTGTTTTATAGGCCTGAATGAAGTGGACTATAGTCACTACCCTGGGCGGGACTTTCAGCTTCAGTGGCTGCATTCTTATCTCGAAGCCTATAAGGAACACAAAGGCCAAGGTAGTGCAGTCACTGACAGAGAAGTGGAGAGCCTCTATGTCCAAGTCAACCAGTTTGCCCTGGTAAGTATTTGTAGTTGGTCCAGCGTCATCTACTCAATAATGGATGGATTGGTAGTTGGATGTGAAGTGAACACAACAGACACAGCCTGGCTTCAGTAAAATAATCATTTTAAGCCGAATGTTTGCACTGTTACAGTAAAGCTGCACCTGGTCTACAGTTTATCAGACCAAGCTGCATTTATTTTATTTTTTTATTTTAGCCTTTCTGGATTAAGTATTTGAGCTACCGTATCACCAGCTTACTATAAATCTGGTATATTAGTGTTACTGTGAGGGATTGGCCACAAAGGTGCACTTTATATTGTGTCTCTCATCAAATGTTGTTTATCACAAAACAAACTCTGTTAAGAACTCCAACAGTATTCTAGTAATGGTGTCGATCACCCACATTTATTTTGTGTGACTAAACGCACATGTGCTTTGGAGAAAATAATAGGAACCGCCTGCAAAGCAAACTTGTCACTTGAAGTCTTGAACTAGTACAAAAATTTACTCTGTAGTTTAAAAAGATAAAATAGTTACCTGAACAGACAAATGTTACTTCTGTATAATTCAGCCTTTCCCCCAAAATGGTCAAAAATAAAGCATTAACATTAGACATTGACCAAGTACAGTGAGGTCCTTAGGGCTTGTTCTGAATGATTCTCCACACTGTAAGCTGTTGGGTCAGAGTGGTGCATGTTATACAGATCACACAGACATAAACTACCTGCTCTGAATATGAGAGAAGGATGACTGACACACTCACTAATCTAGCCACCACATGGGTAACAATAACTAAAGATAACTTGCAGCCTTGGTGAGACTCGCCGTTGTCCCGTGAGACAGATTCTGCCTTGTTTACTCTAAAGAGGAATAGAGGGCAGTGTGGAGGATGGGCAACTGAAACAATTGTATTTCTGTGTGAGCTGTTTGTAATTGCTGCCATAGGGCCTCTAGTTTTATACGTACTTGTGTGTGTCATGTTCGATAATTGGAAATGACATGTACTTTTAGACTGTGAGCACACGGTGAACCTTTCTCTCTCTGTCTCCTTTTTGCCAAGGCTTCTCATTTTTTCTGGGGTCTCTGGGCTCTGATTCAGGCCAGATTCTCCACCATCGACTTTGACTTCTTGGGGTAAGTTGCCATCTTTAAATAATCTAGCGAGCACACTTTTCTTTGAGCCGTTATATCTTGGTGTGGCAAGCACAATTTAGTAACTTAATCACGTTTAAGAACAAAATGTTAAGCATCCACATGGATATTTCAGGATGTTCTGTTATTTTTGCACTGGCATTTCGTGGTAACATGTCACGTACATATTTATCTCACTGCTGGCACTGCTGCTGTGTGTCTCTACTTTACAATCAGATATGCAGTCCTGCGGTTTAACCAGTATTTCAAGATGAAACCAGAAGCGGCTGCACTAAAATTACCAGAATAAAAGCCCGCACCTCCCTCATCATCATCTCCTCTTCGTCCTCAAACCTGCTCTGCACCTCACACGATGACCTCAGAGTGCCCACTAGAGGTCCCTGTTGAGAAGAAGCCAGACTCTGAGTCCAGTTTAGTTTCTGAAGATCCCCTCTAAAGTCCACATCCATAAAGACTGAACGGGCAATGATAAACACTGTTAATCAGGATAAAGCCCATACTGTCAACATGGGTGTGTGAAGGACCAATTTTAAGATCCGCTATAATGTGAAGTCCACTTGGTTAAATTTATTTTCATTATCAATTCAGTTGATATTTGCATATCAGCTTATTGTATTTATAAGCAGCTCTTCAGATGGCTCAGCTCTGTCTAAGGCAGAGAAGAAGCATCATGTGAGCAAATACATGGCAACTACCAGCATTATTATTTTTTTTTTTGTCTTTCTTTAAAAGTTGTCCAGACATTAATCTGACTGCCTAGACACCTTCCTAATATCACATTCATGGGTAAACCCCCTCAGAACCAGCCAAGTCATAGACCACATTTATGACAACGGGCAAATAAAGCCTGCTTTATTTGCCAAGGAGCCAAGATAAATGGTAGAAAATGCTAACATGGAAAGGCCAGTCCTGTCTTTCAGTCCCATGTGATAGGAGCCACGCCACACCAAAAACACTTGAGGTCTGTCTTGTGATTCTTGTTTTCACCCCCACCCCCTACATTTCCTGTCCATGCATGGGTGGTGCCTAAGAATAGCCATGTAGTAAATGTTTTACTTTGTAAAGGTAGAAAAGGGGGTTTTAGGGGAGCAGCTTGTGTTTGCCTCCAAAATCTTCCTTAAATGAAATGGTTGTAGATCATTGAAAAGCCATTTGGTTTGACAGTAGTTCTCACTGTACTTCTAGTTTTGTTACTTTTGACACTTTTGTTAACTTAACACAAAGATACATTTTACTGTAATTTTTACATTCCGCACTTGTAGTACTAGATTGTAAAATTGGTGGATTTCACGTGGTAAGTTAGCAGCGTCCATCCTGATAGGGAAGGATTTGGAGTCTTCGTCAATATTATGAATCACTTTTGTCCTAAAGCTCCAAGGACTAAGCATTTTGTGAACACGTTCTCATTTAGAGGTGTGTGTGACGTGGCCTTGCTGGCTGTCAGATTTTTGAAGCAGAGTTGGCATTTATCATGTTAAATGATGGATGTTAAATGGTATGGAAAAGTGGAATTCTGGTAAAAGAAAGTCAAAATGATTATCTCAGGCTGCCAGTGGAACTTGAAGATAATTTTTAACAGCAATAACTATTGAAGTTGGTAAAGAACTCTTTAAACAAACTGTTTTTAAAAGAATCTTTTGGGAACTTTTATGAAAACTAAGAAAGCGTAGCTCTCGGTGATTTAACAAGCAGACACCAAAGTGCTGATCGCCGTAAACACTTGCAAGAAAAATGTTTAGAAGAACCTAAGCGTTTCAGATCCTTACACTGTTTAAATGTGACCATGACCCAGCAACTCTTGCAACTGGTTTTTGTTTAGTCCAAAACAAAATCACACGTTTGCAGAGCTCGGTGAAAGCAGTTATTGACACAAAGTTGTCCACTCATACTCATGCAGTTATAAATACATATAGAAGTGTCAGTCTGCCTTTGTGCCTTTTTTTTTTTTTTTTTTTTTAAGTCTTATTTTTCACTCAAAGCAATGAACTTAAGGATTATTACTCTTCTGTTTTTAATTAAGTGTTGCTTTTTTATGCTGGAGGATTAAGATGGATAGATAATAAAATTCTCCTGTTGGACCTAGGGTAAATTAGAAATTCTTGTCTTTTAACCTGTGACTTATAAACCCAACCATCTACTTGGTGGTAAAGGGTTTTTAATTTGCTGGTTTGGATTGTGCTGAGAGAACATTTCTAAAGGGTCTCTCGGAAAGTTGTTTGGAGTATTAAGATAGTAGACAAGACTAAGTGTACAAAAAATCCATCTGAATAATTAAACTGGATGAGTGCATTTTCACTGTATATCGAGTAATCTCTCTAGTCTTTTAACTTGAACCACTACATCTTAGAAATGCATTTATATTTAACATTATTGGAGGGGGAAAGGTTAAACTCTGGCCACTGTAGCATATGTTTATATGTATAACTAACGTAATGATAGCTTTTTTTTTTTTTTCTCATGTGAATATGTGTACATAGAGGGAGGTTTTTTTTCTAAGAAATGAATTAAGATGGAAAAACTGCTCAATGTAAAGAGTGAAACTGGAAAAACTAAATATGCTTAAAAATAAAGTATATTTACATTTATGTCTGCTTTTGTCTTTTTTTCTCCCCCTGTGGCTTTAATATTGGACGGGGGGGGTATATAGCAGGTGTCACTGAATTTTCATTTAAAAGTTCATTTTAATTGAAATCTTACAATTTTGACCTTCCCCTTTCTTATGGGTCATATAGAGTGAAACAGCGCTGCTCTACAAACGGTAAGGGAATGTCAGTTAGCCGGACACACTGAGAAAATGCTGGAAAGGTTTTTTGTTTGTTTTTTTTCCTGAAAAGTTGCTTCTCTTTATTTGGTCGTAACATTTTCAGGGGGAGAAACATTTGGTCATTCATCCAAGTGACATCAAGCGCTAGCATTTCCAGCACCGGTAATCATTAATTTTGCAGTTTTAATCCCTACTTGCATTTTATTTGCCCCAAAAACAGTTATGTACAAAACGACGGAGAACAGGACAGGTCTGTACAAAGACAGACTTGACAAAAAGACAAAGAAAAAAGTAAGAGTTAAAAATCAAAGGAGTGAAAGAGTCAGACCCATACAAGCATACAGAGTGGAGTAAGGACGTTAGCGTGCTGCCCAACTTTCATCACGCACATATTTATTATTATATGGTCCTAAGTGTGAGTGCATACACTCAAAAAATGTTTAGTAACTTCAGATCCCTGCAACAAGCCCAGGTCCAGTTTACTTTGGTGATTTGGACTATTCCATTTCACAGCTGTTGTTACGTTTTTTTTTTTTTTTTTTTTTTTTTTTTTTTTTTTCTCCTTTGCATTGGCCTGTACAGGAGACTATCTATTTGTCGTTTCAGGTTGTAGTATTACACAACATTTTCAGATCCTTTTTTTTTTTTTTTTTTTTTTTTTTTTTTTTGTCCCATTTGGATCTTTAGCCATCAGAATTGTTGTCTTAAGGCCAAGAAACATGCCAAGCGGATTTATTTTACCAAGTGGATCATCATGGCCTTGCCATATTGGTCCATTTGATTGACCTTTATTATAATTATGTATTTATTTTATTTTCAGTTGCTACAAATGGGACAGACATGACTGGGGGATAGGACAGGGAGAAAGAAAGAGGGAGAGAAAGAAAACCAGAGGGGAGAAGAGACGGTGAGAAAGGGGAAAGAAAAACAAACAAACACCTGGATCACCTGTATGGAGAGAAAAAAAAACAAGAGAAAGCAAACAAAAAAGAGCAACATAAATACAGCACCATCACAATAAACTAGCTAACAGTAGATACTAAATAATAAACGATATTGTGCAGCATGCGAGATAGACAGCGCACAATGTTCTTTGAGGCAGCAGCCAAGAAAGGTGTAGTCCGCGTCTGTGAATACCCGTGTGTACACCTGTGTGCACACCTGTGTGGATCAGCATGCTTGTATTCCAAAGGTTTCTCCATGTAACGATCTGCTAGGGAGTGTGGGGAGCCATAGCCCCGTCCCCCAGGGCACGAAGCAGGTATGGAGGAGATCCAGGCCCCAGACATCCAGAGCCCCAGAGTACGAGGAGGACCACCAAAGGGGGGGGGGGAACCGTGCCACCCTCCTGGGAAGAGCTGAGTAGAGCCCCAAACGAGAGGTCACCCAGCAGCTACGGAGCAGAGGCCAGAGGGGGTTGCAGTGGCGTGCCCGCAGGCTCTGCCGGCAGCCAGCTGTGCCAGAGAAGACCGAGCTTCAGGCCCATCGTGTGATCTGAACATTTTCAGATCTAATAGAAATAAAATAAGTGTTTCGTAATTCATTCCATTCATTGTCTTTATTTATAACTGGCAGTATTGTTTCATTCTATTATAGATTCTTACAAGATAGAGGCAAAATTGTATTCCATTATGCTTTATTAGCTGCTTCGGTGAAAAACAAATCAACAATGCAAAAAAAAAAAACCCCACTGGAAAACAGTTATTCATCACTTGATTGCTTCAGTGGATCTGCGCTCGACAGTGCAGCCTGGGCGGAGTAGTCGAACGCAGATCCACTGAGCTCTCAACACAGACAGCATCGTCAGAAGAAAAGTTGATAAAATAAATAAAAAATGTTGTATTGTTCGATACATATGCGTACCGAACCGAAAGCACTGTATCGAACGGTTCAATACCGATAAGAGTATCGTTGCACACCTACAAAACACATCACCTTTATCAGTGATGCATTTTGATTCACTTGGATTTCACTTGGTTCTCTGTGTGTAAAAACAAACCAAACCACATGGAAAAGCTACCGCTGATTTGGGCCAGAGTAAACAAACTATAGGTGTGAAAACACTCTCAGACTTTCCAGGAGCCCTGGACAGTCAGACCTAGCCTCTGTTTGCAGCGTTCTTTCATGCTCTTAAATACCTCTCCATGGTGGTGTCTCACTCCCTTTTCACTTGTTGGTCTTAAGAGTGAGTGGAGCTTTAATCCATTAGTGTGTACTATGTAGTCCAGGCAACATAATTTCATGTTCATATATTTAAAGATGATATAATATTACTTTGACATTTCTTTTGTCTTGTGCAGAGGTGGAAAAAATATTTGAAAGCTACTTAAGAGTTGACATAGAGATGTCCACAAGATGGCGACACAACCCACTAAAAGAAAGTAGTACCCACATAGCTCCTCCAGGCTGGCAGAAAGCTCACCACAGGGTACAGAAATAATCCCATTCAGCATTTATTATTTGTGATATTAATGCCTATTAGCATAGATTTCTATATTTAAAACAAAGGCATCTCAGTAATATGCCTTGTGTTGAACATCTACACTCAAATGTGCAGTAAAATAGTACATTTCTTTTTTCTTTTCTTTTTTTTTATGTCTTTTCCTGTCTGGAAGCACTTGCAATCAAATTTATGATCTGATTGCACTAGTGTGGCAAACACATTTCGCTTTTCCGAGATGTTTTCTATAAGTTCTCTATAGGCTCCTCTTGTTCAGGGTTTATCTGCTTATTTCCTCATTTCAATTTGTGTTATTTCAGTTATTACATTATATGTAGTATATTCTGTGACAATGTCTAAGGTAGGACAGACAGGAGAAAAGGGGGGGGGCACAGTAAATAGAAATACACAGCGTATCGCCCACTGCCACATCTGTTAGAAGAAAACAAACATTCAACACCTGGAGTGCAAAAATTAAAAGCGCACAGGTGCATAAATTAACGATCTTCTTGTGGTGTGTGTGTATCTGTGTGTGAGATACACACGTGTGTGAGAGAGAAAGATGGAGTATGTTTGTGTCTTTGACATGAAATGTGGGTGGGAAGCTGCAATAACGCCACCTAGGAGCCAGAAGCAGACAGAGATGGATCCGGGAGAACCAGGCCATCCGAAGCCCCAAGAGTACTGAAGACCTCAGGCCACACATCTCAACGATATCTGCGTATCTGCGGGGCATGGAAAGATCAGGGTCCCAGTGTTCTAGGAGCTCAAGAACCACACTGTTTGCATTTGGTCACTCACTTACCCACTAATGACACAGAGACACATATATCACACATGCACACACATTGACCCTCCCCTTTGAGGTGCCAGCAAGCAGATGCCCCCCGAATAAGCAGTGAACTGAGACGCTGCCAGAGCATCGCATCAAACCACCTGTAGACCTCCGTACCTGGCAGGGTGTGTGAAACAGGGGTGCAGGAAGATGCTGACCATCCCCACTAAGTAATAGAATTGATCAGTGGGGACCAGAGGGAAACAAATTCATCCAGTTAGTTTTGTGAGGAGGCAGACGTTCTCTCCAGATGGTTTGATCTAGAAGTAAATTTCTTTATTGAACAATACATAAAAATGTTTTTGGATTTCCAGTTCATGAGAATAGGCTTCTTAGCGATGCATAAGGCAGTATCTATTTCACATATGTCACCTATAATGCACAGCTTGGGTGAGGTTGGGATGCAATGACTAGACCATGTGGATAGGTAGGGTGTGCAGACCCATATAACATGCATATAGTTGTGAGCAGAGTTGTCTTTGCAATGGGTGCATGTATTTGAGTGTGTGAGACCCATTTGGAACAACCGTTCTCCTATATAGTTTGTTCTGTAGACAATTTTATATTGTAAGTTGTAAGTTGGGGATTTCATTTATTTTGAAGGTGTTCAGACAGTTTTGATCTGGACTGATGGAAAGATCTCGCTCCCAATTTATGGTTGGGAGGGGAAATAATTCATTAGTTTTAAATAAAAGTTAACTTTTTTTTGATCACCATTTGAGGGTACAAATATTTATTTATTTTACCCATGACTGATATTAATCTTTAATAGGGCTGTCAAAATTGAGAGCAAACAAAACAACTGCTATAATGCCCTCTGCTGTCTTAGTTTAATTGGTCACATGACTGCACCGTGTGACTAACATGCGTCATTGTTTTAGAAAGTCTCCGTTTTCGCTGTCCACACTGCGACGTGAAAGCACCGTTTTGAAATATATGCGTTTCGGGAGTGTTTTCAAAACGTTGCGTTTTCCATCAGCGAAAACGCCGTTTCAGTGTGGACAGGAGGCCAAAACGGAGAGAAAACGATGACGTAGCCTAAGTGAGATTGTAAGTAGTGTACTGGTGAAAAAAAGGTGTGATCCCTGACAGTTGGGTGATGTGAACGCCAAGCACCGCAAAGAGCAAAATCATCCATGTATTGTTTAAGAATATATGCCATCAGTTCAAATAAAC